AAATGAAGGGGGGAACTGGAGGGGGAGACAAACCATGAGAGACTATGGACTCTGAGAAACAAACTGAGGGTTCTAGAGGAGAGGGGGGTGGGGGGATGGGTTAGCCTGGTGATGGGTATTAAGGAGGGCACGTATTGCATGGAGCACTGGGTGTTTTCTGCAAACAATGAATCATGGAACACTACATCAAAAACTAATGATGTAATGTATGGTGATTAATATAATACAATAAAAAAAAATACCAAGCTCCAGATTTTGTAAGTAGAAATTGTCCCATAGAGGTAAAGTTATTGTGTGTGTGTGTGTGTGTATACGCACACATGCGTGCATATTTAGGACGTCCTTAGGTACATCATCAACAATACTACTGACCACCCAAGAATTATTTCCTCATAAATACAAAGAAATGTTCCAATGCTGGAGATCAGAATGATGTCAAACCAGACCTGGGATACTACTGATGAAGACAACCAATATCCATCCAATAACCTCCGTTTGTATAGGAGAGGCAGATGTTATTTTTAACACAACATATTGATTGCGGTTTGCTGTTGCTTAGAAATAGTCATAAAAAATAAATCATCTACATAATAAAAAAAACCCAACCCAGTGACTTCCGTGATCACCAAGCATTGGGAGTGCTGTGGAAGGCTACAAAAGCAAACAGTGCACGGAGGCCAGGGGTGTCCCGCCCAGTGAGAGTCTCCACCCCATGTGCTGCTCCGAGGGGGCGCTAGGATGCAGAGCAAACAGCGTAAGGAGAGACTGCCTAAGGGAAATGGGAAGGAAAGCTATTTGGATGAGCAAAGTACTGAAATTAGGCACCACATCTGCCTCTAAGCTCCCCAGCAACTAAGGCGAAAAGGACATATGGGGAGAATGTTGTTTTCTGAAAGGAGCAACAATCTATAAAGATAAAGATCCCTTCTGAGCTAAACAGTGATAATTTATGAAGAAGCTTTGGATAATGGACAAAAATAAAGTGTCTATTCAGCTATGGTTTTATAAAAATGCGACAGAGATTGCTTTCATGTGCATCTTATCTCTGGAGCTTCAGAAATGCCAAGGCACGTTCAGAACTTCTGAAGCAAAAGTATTTCCGTTGAGGGGTGACTGAAGACCAACAGATGCTAATCAAGACAAAAAGTGGCAGCCTCCTGTTTGTCGGAACGGAGCAAAGTTCCAAGTAGAAATGAGAGATCAAGTCCTCATGATGCCACTTCCTTGGGGCCTCCTGCTGGCCTTCTAGGACTGGGGTTCCTAACACAGGCACCATGGGCAGGGCTTAGAGAGAGCACCTATAAATGCTTTCATTGCATTTGGGGGCAGATTTGTGTTTATGGCATTTCCTAAAAATATGATTCGTTGAAGAGATATTCAAACCAGTCTAAAACTAAAGCTCGATAAGAAAATGTCACCGTCAATAGGACAATGTTAACGAAAAATGTCAGTGTATTTTACCTGCAAAGGGCAAACAGAAACAAGAGAACGTTAATTCAAGAATACTGGGGTTTCCTCCTTCTACCTTTTTATGGCTGATTTTGAAAGTCTATGCTTATCTTTTAGAAACCAAGCCACGAATCAGTCTGGAAAATATAAGCACAATTATATACCACACCCGTCCCATGTTCCTAATGAAGTTTCCAGTTGTTGTGGGCGTATTTACTTAATGCCCAACAACATCCTGAAATGCATGCGCAGAGAACTAAAAACAAAATACAACCCTACGGTAAGAACAACCTCTCTCCAAACTCACTTTACTAGAGCCCAGAATAAGCAGTGCTTCTTAGAGTTACCCAGTGATGGAAAGAATGGTAAGCCCTGCCAGGGTGCTCTGGCTTTGCACCCGAGAGCTTCTCTGAACTTGAAGCAGCCCCAAACCAGTAAGTGAGTTGAGGAGCATGAGGCTTTCCCCTGTCACTGGGAAGTGGTCAGAAAACTTTTCTGAGCTTGGTGTAGCTAGCCCCTTGCCAATCTGCCACAACAGGGCTGGTGCCTCGGATTCAAGGCTGTGGTGATTTACACTCCTGGTCCTACTTAATTTAACCCTTTCTCCTGCCGGCAAAGGGAATGTACTGAGTCTTTTCAAAAGTGAGGCCGGGAGCCAACCTCCCAGAGCGTTCTTGTGGGGACCCGCCACTCTGTAAGTAGCAACGTGTGTTGGTAAGACAGCTGTCTGGAGTTGACAGCCCTGGCTGTGGTGGTGTAACTCACCTACGTGGGAATCCAACCCACAGGGCTGAAGATGCTAAATACAGGTTCTAAAGAGAGGGAGCCACACAGAAACCTCATTGTGTTTTGTTTTTTTTTCCATACAGAGAATAACTCACCTTGAGGTCATAAAGGAGCTGGAAGCTGCTGGGTGCCTGAGCTGCTCTCTGGACGGCCTGAGCCAGGGCTAAGGCGCCCTTGCCCCCTTCTGCCCAGTGTGTGCATTTCACTGCATCAAAAGCCCCATGATCTTTGGCAAGGCGGCTGACGAGGTCCAGCTCGGCCTCCGAATCTGTCCTGGAAAGGCAGCGATTCGTGTTAAAGCAATGAGGATGTTCGCAGAGGACACTCTGTCTTGTGTTGGCCATGAGAACTCTAGTGAATTAGTCACTGATGAATGGAGACAAATCCAATAATACTGACTGGGTTTGACTCCTGGTTCCACAACTTACTATCTGGGTGACCCTTGGCCAGTTATTGAATCCTTATGTGCTTTGGTTTCCACGTAGTAAAACGGGAATAACCATAGCACTTACTTCCCGGGGACGTCATGAGGCTTAGATGACCAGTACATGCGAAATACTTGAACCATTCCAGGCACATCACAGGAATCAATAAATACTAGCTTTTAAAAAACTTTTGTCTTCCATTCTGCTATGGTTTGGCCATTATAACAAGACCAAAACCAGCACTGCAATACCTAAACAACCTATACAAGTTCTCTTTCATGAACATTTCTGGCTCAACATGTTCAACTCTTTGTCAGGATACCATCGCACTAGACCTACGGAAATAAGGGAACTCTGTAGGGCTATGACCTCCTGTCAGCATAAAAGGCCTCTAGAGAGCAAAAAAGAACATTTTACTTCAGGTCTGTGTGTCCTCCAGTGGCGAAGGGGGCCCTTGGGAGCCACATCTGACCCTGGGCCCTCGGCAGGAGAAGGGACGGGTTTGCGGAGGCATCTGTGGTGCCTGCCGCCCCGCAGGCTCTCGCCACAGCAGAGGCTTAACAACCAGTACCAGTAACCGAAGAACAAAATAAAGCTAACCGCAGTGCTACACAGTTAGCTCCGGGAGATGGTTTCTGGCCCTTTTTCACAGTCCTCCCCCCGCCCCCTGCCCCGCCTCCTACTCTTCGTACTTACTTGAATGCGTTCACGGCCACTACCACTGGGACTCCAAACATTCTGGCATTTTCAATTTGTTTCCTTAAGTTACTGAAGCCTTTTTCAACCAGCTCCAGGTTCTGTCAGAACAACAGGGAAGGGTCCACGAGGTCAGCAGCAGGTTCTTCTTTTTTTTTTTTTTTTTGAAGACTTTATTTTTTTGAGAGAGACAGCACAGCAAGGAGAGAGGCAGAGGGAGAAATAGACTCCCCGCTCAGCAGTGAGCCCTACGTGGGGCTTGATCCCAGGACACTGGGATTATGACCTGAGCCAAAGGCAGACGCTTAACCAACTGAGCCACCCAGGTGCCCCTATACTGTGGATTTTTTTTTTTAAGATTTTATTTATTTATTTGACAGAGAGAGACACAGTGAGAGAGGGAACACAAACGGAGAGTGGGAGAGGGAGAAGGAGGTTTCCCGTGGAGCAGGGACCCCAATTCCGGGCTTGATCCCAGGACCCTAGGATCATGACCTGAGCCGAAGGCAGATGCTTAACAACTGAGCCACCCAGGCGCCCCTACTGTGGATATTTTTAATGACTATGTTAGTTTTCCTATTTTTTAATGGCTGTATATTATACTGCATGTACCCTTGTGTGTATATATATAATTATGTAAGAAATCATCTTAATGCTGATTGACATTATGTATTAATAATTTCAACAACATAATCTACTGATGAACATTTAAATTGCTTCTTCCTGTTACTGTTTATAATGTTTCAGTAAGCATATTTATACACTTCTCTGAATATTCCCTGAAGATAAAGTCCAAGAAGTGGAATTGTTATATCAAAGGCAATGTGAGTGCCTGTTTTAATTTGACAGTTTTTAATCAAAAAACACTGCAATTTTGTAAAATGTAAAAAAACCATGATCCATCACAATTTTAGTAAACATTTTGTTGAAGTTTCAGTGATTTTTTTCTATGAATATATCTTTTAACATTGCTGAGATTAAATAGTTTGCAAGAATATATTCTGAAAGTAACAATGTTTCCCACTCTGTAGACAGATTCTGAGAATGAAACAAGTGCTAAAACCTAGACTGTAATTCCTGGGCCCTGGGCTTCTCACCGGTCAATTAGCAGAGAGACATGCAGCAAGCAGCCCCCCATACTCTGGAAAAAGGCAGGGTGACAGGGAAGAGCTATGGGTTGCTGTCCTTCTGAGCCAATAGGAATTTGGTTCTCCCTCTTTTTTCACATGATGTGAGTGAATGATCCTGCAGAATTTTAATGGTCTAAAGCTATCGAATAAATCTAATTATTTTATAATTGTAACTGGGCTTACTTAGAAGAGTCTCATTCGGTACAAATGAGTAAAAACAACTATAGTTGATCCTTGAAAACTTAAGGGGTAGGGGTGCCTACCCCACCCACGCCCCCACCCCGCAGTCGAAAATCTGTGTATAACTTTTGACTTCCAGAAATTTTACTACTAGTAGCCTACTGTTGACTGTTACTGACAATCTAAACAGTCAATTAACACATTTTGTATGTTATATGTATTATATGTTGTATTAAATACTACACTCTATAGTATGTACTGCATTTATCAGAAAAAAATCCATATACAAGTAGACCCACGCAGTTCAAAGCTGTGTTGTTCCAAGGCCAACCATACTTTAAAATGGCCTTTTATCAGACACCATGCTTTATGCCTTAAATGCATTTCCATTCACCCACAAGAAGAAAGAAAAACAGAGCCCAGCAATTTAGATTCTATCACGCCTGTGTAAAGATGAAGAAAATGAAGCACAGGATTGTTCGGGTGCCCAAGGTGAAAAGATAGTAAATAGAGGACTAAAATTAGGTCTGAGGTGGTTCTATTCATTCGCACAATACTTCTTCTTAAATTACTGTGCTTTATTAAGTTTACGGAACATCACAAAGTCATCTCATTACATATATCACTGAAGCTCACCACCTATATAATACAGGAGGGAAGACAGTTACATTGTTATACTTCTCCTAGTACTTGTCCAACCTAAAACAGAAGGTTTGGGGTCAGTTCTGTTCCTTATCCTCTCTCCTCCAAACCTGGGATGGGTGAGTTGCTCTAACTTGCTATTTTTCTCTACTCCAGCTCTCTGGTTTCTTAAATAAAATAACATTACCTATCCTACTCTTATTTATTCATTTACGGGGGAGGGTTTTTTTCCGCGGGAGGGGGGGAATCAATAATTAACAGACGAGCCCTTTCCCCTAAGAGCCCAAAGTATGTATCAAGATTATTAATGATGGGTAAGGTTTTTTTTTTCTCAAATTTGATGGGGGATTTGAGGGATTGCTAAATGAGATTATGCAAAGTATCCCGTTTTTGGAAGTTTGCATTACACCACTTCACTTTAATGAAAGACCGCAAGTAGTACCTGTTTTCACTAGCTGAGAGAAATCTGAAGAGGATTTTCACTTATATGAAAAAAGAAGAAAAGCAAAAATAGCACTCTGTGTTTATTTTGCAGCCACACATTATAGAGGTTTCAAAGCACCCCAAGCAGTGAGAATGGCGCCGCCAAGCTCCGTCCTCGGGAACTACACTCAGCATCAAGCGTCGGTAGCTTTGAATAGTGTCTGTGAGCATCTGTGCTTTATCTGTATTTATTTTCTGCATCCATTAGCAAGATGTGTCCTGATGTATCAGAAAAGCCTAAGAGAGGCTATTTTTTGGGTCTGAGAAACTTGGATTTTTTCCTACTTAAATTGGTGGTAGTAATTGCTTCTTTGCTTTATGCCATTTCAGCTCACAAAAGATTTCAGAGGAGCGCTCTTCTTTTGGATAGCGAGGGAAACCTGTACTTTTGTTTTATAAAAGAGGCACATATATTAAATATCTTCCATCACGTAAATCTTAATATTTTATAGAGCCAGTATATTCTCTCTAAGACACATGGGCTATATTCTCCTCTTTAAATGATTGAAAGAAATGGAATCGCAGAAGTATATTATGTGACTTTCCCAAGGTTATTTAGCAAACCAGCTGCATAGAACTGCAGAGTTTAGTTTAAACCAGCTAAAAGTAAAACAAGGGAGTACTTTTAAAATATAAAGCTATATAAGCTTTAAAATAATCAGCTAAGTAGACTAAAACTACTTGGTATATGCTAAACAATCAAAGAGGTTGTTTTATTTTTAATCAAAGGCAGATATTCTAAAAGCAAGTAGAGTTTTTAATCACAAAATATCCTCAGATAAATCAGATTCACACAGGGATTAAATCTATTCAGTCCTGTTCAAAGTTATGGAGCAAGTATAATAGAGAAAGGCTTTTAGAAATCTACTTGAGTAAGCCATTTTGATCTTTTTATCTTGATTGCTCTTTATCTCCTGATAGTTTACTTCTCAGCTTTAGTGTTGGGTTAAAAAAAAAAAAAAATTGGTCAGCCTTTACTTTGTGCTTGCCTGCTTGTTGTAATGACGATTCTATGTCTGTAATATTCATTCCAAAGTGTATTGTGTATACTCTTTGTTTAAATGGTTAGTTCCAGAAATATTTAGAAGCTTTCTCCACCTAAAATAAACATTTTGAAGAACCATTCAGGAGTAAGAGAAATGATGAGTGGTGTGTTTTATGTTAAGCATAACTGGGGCTCAAAGGATGAAATCTTTGCTATGTTGTAAAAATAGTCTCAATTCCTCTTCATTAGAGCAAATAATTTGGTTGCCTGAAAGTCTACGATGCTGATATCATCCAAACAGAAATCCAAGGGCTGAGATATGCATGGCATGTGTTATTTGAATTTCTCCACCTTTCCATGCTGGAGCGCTAACTGGAAGGTAAATTGTGAAATGCACTCAAATGCAAAGCTTACAATAAAATCAGGTCATCGGTTGAAATATTTACAAGTTCATATGATATTAACAAAATCTTACTGAAATTTTTATGACATTTATTTAGCGTAGAAGAGAAATCAATCTTTTTTTTTTCATGGATATATCATTTTATTTTTTATTT